TGGGATCGCCTGGACTGCCAGCCGCCACCTTACCGTGCATTCTCTCTGCCCTGGTTGCCTGTCTCTACCCCTTCTACTGGTCGGGTTAATGTTTCTTATTTAGCTCCTTGGGTGTTGGACTTCCATAGAGTTTGATTTTCTGGCAGTCTGGTTATTTTTTTTGTATGTTTAAATTTGTTGCCCTTCTTTTGGTTGTGTGAGGAGTCAGAGTGTACCTACCTATGCCTCAGTCTTAACCAGAAGTCTAACTTTGTGGTTTTGTGGCAGGGGTTAGAGAACAAATTAGAAAGCAATAGTTGTATGATACTGACCTAATCAGATGAGAGTAGAAAAATCACCATGTTGCCATATTAGTAAGCACACATGGCAATGACTAAAATTTAGGAATTGAAAGGCAGTATAACATGGAGGGTCTGGAGCCAGACTATATGGCTTCTTCTTGGTTCCTCCTGGAACTAGCCTGTGTGACATTTGGTAAGTCATTTAATGTCTATGTGTCTGTTTCTTCATCTGTAAAAGAAGATGATAATGGTATATATCAGGGAGTTTATGTAAAGATTAAATGATTTCATTTATATTAGTAGTTTATGTAGTGCCTAGCACAGAGTAAATGCTAAGTGTTAACAGTTACTTTATATACTTTAATGTATCAAATAATATTGTGTCAAAGCACATAAATCAAGGGGTCCTTCTTGTAAGCACTTGTAAATACTATTTAGTTAAATTTCTTGCAGAGTAGTGCTGATAGGACTTTCTGCATTGTTGGAAATGTTCTATGTCTGTGCTCTACTGTATGGTAGCCAGTACCCATGTGTGGCTGTTGAGCACTTGAAATGTGGGTAGTGCAGTGGAGGAGCTAAATTTTTAATTTTACTTAATTTACGTGGCCCCATGTGGGGACTGGCTACCATAGTGGCCAGCGCAGGTCTACAGTGTGGTTGAGTGTCTCTTTGCATTCTTCTGGTTTGTAAACTGATCCCAGATTTCACATAACCCTCATAGGTCCCACCATTACTTCTGTTGGTTACATTCCCACTGTCAGAATGAATACTGATTCTTTCTTATTATTCTGATTTCTTTTCTTGGTTTAGAATCATCAAAATAGCACATTTAAAAAGAAAACATTGATGGTACCATAGTGATGAAGAGAAAATGGCCATATTCTTTGCTTTAGAATTATAAGTAATTCTCATTTTAGATTTAGAAATGCCACATAGAATGATCACAACAATGAAATTTTTTTCATCACCATTCGTACACCTACCTTTACCATTTGTCCACTTACAAACTGTATCAAGAAAATTTTTTAGACGCCATAAAAGAGAACACAATATGTGTCACTTATTCTTTTAGCAAAACAAGTTGGCTCATCTTTTTGTCACAGAATATTGGGTAATGAAATGATTTTTGAATAATTTCACCATTTTTTTTATTTTTTTCTTTTTTAAATAGTTCACCGTTTTACTGAAGATCCCAGCTTTGTGTGGAGGGATGTCCTGTTAGAGCCCCTCCATAGGAGGGCCCTGCTCTATCTGCAGTCTTCTGTACCTTGGGCAGCTGTCACAATGCAAACTCAAGGTCCCTTGGGGTTGATGCATCTTTAGCGTGCATGCATGCATGCTTTCATTTTTGGATCCCTGCTTTTGCTTACTTTTTAGCTTCTGAGGATTCCTTAATTTCTTGTAAGCTCAGTAATACATTAAAAATTTTGGAAATATTTTATTTACCATTTTTATTTGATTTTAGCAGAAGAGTTATTCAAGTACCTAGTCAGTAGTACCATTGGGAATGGGAGGCCTACTCATTTTAAAAAAGTAACAAAGTATCATTTTGTGCTATTGATTCACATTTAGGTGAGAGCAATGGTCAGTTCGAAGGTTTAAGGAAACTGAAAACCCAGTAAATTCTTACCATTAACTTAAAATCTTTAGGGAATGAATCAAAGACTATCAGTATATATGTTTTTGGGTGGTACAAGTTTCCTCATATGTAAAATGGGAATAATAATAGTACCTACCTCATAGGGTTGTTGTGAGGGTCAGTGAGATCCTTTCTATATTATACTTCACTGTTTAAGAAATCTGATATTTTATGAATGGAATATCACTTTTTGTTATATTAAAATTATATTCAGACCTGTACTTTATTAAGTGTGTGTATATCAGTGTCCAAAGACAAATTAGCTTTAGGAACTATATTTGTTTGCAGAATAACTAGCATATTAATTTGCAAATTATGTGTGTGTAGTGCTGCTTTTCAAGGGTGATGAGAAAAAAAGAATATGTAACTCAAATTCTCTTGAGTAACCTATAGTTCATTTGTATTCATAGCAAGTAGGTAGTGCTTTGTAATGTGCTGAGTATTCAGGGTATAGTCAGCAAATATGCATGATGGTATCCTTTGGAAAATACAAATTCGGTGTGTTGAGTTGGAGAAGCTGGTGGCAATGAAGAATTTCCAAATGAAAGGACAAACATTTTTAACAGTTAGCTGTTCACAAAATGTTATTAATAAAGGCTTTTTAAAAAGTATAAAGAATGCTTTATTAGAAATGTTTGCATTTTTACCTAGAGAGCTGTAGATGGTGCTATATCCTTAAGCATAGTAGTGGGAATTGGCTTTAACTATAATTATAAGAATTCTTTTAGGGCAGAGCTCCTAAGTTAGTCTTCCTCCCTCCCTGACTCCTTCCTTCCCTCCCTTCCTTCCTATTTTAACTAAAATTAGAACGACTAATGTTGCTTAATTGATGTAGCTTATAATAAATGTTGATACAATGTACTTGGTTGCAAAATGTTTTTTTGTCTTCCAGATTCTTTCAATATAGTTGAAATTATGATTTTCCTACTTTATATTGGTTACAATAACAAAGGTTTATTTTCCTACCATCTGCCTTCTCTGTCCCCTCCAAATTGATAATTGTAATATTTTGATTGGTAGTCTTTACAAGCAGTCTCCTCTCCTTCTCTTCAGATGGGTTAAAGACCACCAAACTGTATCATAGGACTGTATTCTTAGGTAGGTCTGGTTCAGGGGATATTATCTTGAGAATAAGATTGTTAGAAAAAAGTGGAATTTAAAGATCTGGGCAGACTTTAGAAGCTGTTTTGTTAAGATATGTCTGCCTTTTCTGGCAATTAATTTATTATTCAGATAGGAGTTCTGTAAATTCCAGACTTTATTATTCCCTAATTTTTCTGATTTAATGGTGATTTAAAAAACTTAAGGTAGAATTACCTGATAATACTTATGTTTTTTTAATGGTTAAAAAATTGGGTTTTTATTATTTTTGCTAAACAGTGCTAAAAATTTCATTTTGAAGGCAGGGCTTGAATGATCAATTTTGTTCCATTATTTAATTTAAAAAAAGAAAAGAAGTGGAAAGAGGTCATGGCCAAAAAAAAAAAAAAAAAAAAATAGGAGTTAACTTCCACCCCACCCTTGAAGCTCTAGCCAGTGACATGAACATTATCCACATTCCATTCAGTGTCCAATATTCAGATGGTAGAACACACTGCCCCATTGGACCACCCTGAAAGCATGGGGCAACCTGTGCCAGTTTTAGCTCTCAATAGGTTATTCAACCAGATGAACTAGTGGGCTAAAGTCCAGAAAGTCTTTCCTGGTTTTCTGCCCATTGGCTGACCACATAGAAACTGTCATAAACTTGTAAAATTTAAGGTGGGTGGGGAAGTCCGTAGAAGGAGGAGGTTGGCAGGAGAAAAGAAACTCAAGCTTCCTCCTGAGCTAGTGATTCTCAATACAGACTTCAAGAGAGGTCAGGATAGGTGTATTCTAGGTTTCTGATGAAAGAAAATCATCCTTTGAGGAGGAGCTGAGATGTACCATGAAGAATAGTTCTTCCTTCGGAGGCCCCTGGAGGTAGGACAACATAAGGTGGTTCTCCTAGCACCATGAAGGAAGGCGGAAGGCTGAGCGAGAATCCCAAGGTTTCAGCCATATGTGAGACTGGTACACACAGAAAGACTGGAAAGCCATCAGGAACCCTCAGTGCCAACTCCCACCAGCATACACTGGCTCTAAGTTATGTGAACTTATGTGAACTAAGTTAAGTTAGTGGCCATAACCTAGGAAAAAGAAACCTGCGAGAAGCAGAAAGTATTTAGAGAATATTCCAAAGATCTCTTTCCAAAGATGACATATTCATATATATATATATTTAAAGCAAAGAAAAATAAAACTCATTCAAACCATGCCCTGTGCATAAAAAGAAAAATTTAAAGTGAGACCTTTGGCCCTGGCTGGTGTGGCTCAGTAGATTGAGTGCCAGCTGGCGAACCAAAAGTTCACTGGTTTGATTCCCAGTCAGGGCACATGCTGGCCAGGTCCCCAGTAGGGGGCTATAAGAGGTAACCGATCGATGTCTCTCTCCCACGTCGATGTCTCTCTCCCACGTCGATGTTTCTCTCCCTCTCTATCTCCCTTCCCCTCTCTCTAAAAATAAATAAAATAAAATAAAAAGAGACCTTGCTGCTCTAGTCTTACGTATCATAGTCAGCTTGTTACTTTTATTTTGGAAGAGAAGATGTAAAAGTTTCCTTCAGTCATTCAGAAGGCAAATGTAACCACTTATAAAACCTGAAAGGTGGGGCAAACTAGGAGAGGAAAGTAACTTTGGATTCAGTTAACACCAGTTCTGAAGAATTTCGAAATTATTTGAACTTGGTCAAGTTAAATAGAGTGGTATATTTTGGAATAAAAGGCAGTGATTAGCTGTGTTTTAAAAAATACAAAAACATGTTAGATAAATATCTTTCTAAAATGTAGATAGCTTTAAAGGATTCTGACCCAAACCTTGCTGGGAATGTCTTCCTTCTTCCTGAGTTTCATATTAATAGTTCCTAAAAAAAAAAAAAAATTGTTCTTCTGTTGCCCCCTAAAAGTGAAAGTATTTTCTCATTGTGAGTAGAAGGATTGCTGTTGTTGAAGTGTTCTTATTGAACACGTGTACTCTATTTTTTGTTTCTCTTAACTGTCAAGGCACCGCCTTCCATGGTCAACAGTGAGCAACGCCAGCATGCAGAGCACATATTCTTATCATTTAGGAAATCCAAGTCACCATTTGCAGTTTGCAAGCATATTTTGGGTAAGTATTCACTTTAAAAATGTTCTTGCATAATCACTTTTAGTTTTTCTGTCTTGAGTGTTATATATTTTAAATTCCTTTTAAAATAAGCAAGTTTATACAGTTATAATTTTTCATTAGTAATCATTCTACTGAAGTGGCTTTTAAGATATCCCATATAGCCAGACAGAAAAACTTTTTTAACTTTGGATTTTTCTCCCCTAGACATAGTGTTCTATAATTGTTTTCTTATTGACCATAATGTGAAGGCTGTTAAGAGTGGGGAAAAAATATATTTTTTCAATTGTTTTCAAGTGTGATATCATGTATTATAGGAAATTTACTATATCCAACCCCAGTGTTTTAAAATTTAGATTGTTGCCCTGGCTGGTATAGCTCAATGGATTGAGTGCAGGCCTACAAACCAAAGGGTCACTGGTTTGATTCCCAGTCAGGGCACATGTCTGGGTGGTGGGCCAGGCCCCCAGTAGGGGACATGCAAGAGGCAAACACACAATGATGTTTTTCTCCCTCTCTTTCTCCTTCCCTTCCCCTCTCTCTAAAAAATAATTAAAAAAAAGTAAAATTTAGATTGTTTTTGGCGATTTCTACAATTTCTCTTGTTTTTATTTTTAAACCATGTACTCAGCTTGCTTAGTCAGTTCTGTGTAGGTTATCACTGCATATCCTAAGATGAAGCATTGATTTTTACTCTTTTAAAAAAATTTTATGAGTACCTTATATCTGACATATGCACAGAAATGATCTCTTTCCAAAGATGGTATTTTTCTAAGATGTATATATGTCTATGTATATGTAATATCTTCTGTTTCTTAGATATTTTATAACCTTAGTGCTTTTTTTAAAAATTGGAGCCATTTTTTGTCACACATATGTAAGACTCTGAAATGCTGAGTTATTCATGACCACAGAATTGGTTACGAGTATTAGGAACTAAAATATCTGACCTTTCATCTTTCGCTTTGACTTATCTGTTAGCCACCTGTAGTCTGGCTTCCAGATTGAAATTGCCTACAGTGAAAGTTACATGTTAAAAATGCTGTCCATATACGGGATTATAAATGAGAGTTGTTAGATTAGTTGGGGTGGAAAAGCTCTTGTGCAGACACTGGGAGGTCCCAGCTCCAGTGGTGTCTGCTGCATGTGGTCACCTTGAGGCATCACCTTCTCTGAGCCTGTTCTCCCCTGTGAAATAGTAACAGTGATGTCATGTTCCACCATAGATTCAGCTGTCTTGAATTGTGAGGTGCATATGTAGTAACAATATAGAAAAGCATTTTGTAGATGATTGGGTAAATGTCATGAACCCATTATCTCATTTTAAATGACTTTTTAAAAATATGAGAAGCTTAAAAAATGCTATTTTTTGTTTGCTAGGAGCTAGCAGCGATGGTGAAGGTGGCTCTCTCCCACTCAGGAGGTAGATCTCACTGTTAAAGGAGCAGCTTTAATAAGCACCTTTTAAATTCCAAAAGAGGTTTTGAAATTTTTTTTTGAGTGTTGAGTTTGTTTCTGGCATTAAGAAAATTTATTTCATGCCTGTGGAGAATATTTAACTCAGTGTTAAATTAAAAGAAGCAAAACTAAACACCAGCCTTAAGAATTTAAGGGAGATTTACTTCATCCTTACTGCCTGGAAATTGCTCAGCATTAATGGATTTAGAAAATCATTGTGTTAAACTGGCACCTAAACTAATCTTGAGAATGGTTTTCACAGCAGGTACGGTGACTGCGTTAACTAGGTTCCATCATGCTTCATCTTACTTTCTGTTGTAATTCAGTTGACATTCTGTAATAGGTGGGAAGTAGTTGATGTAAGTTATAAGTATTTAATTAGAGTGTATTCGTTTATATCACTCTTTCCTTTTTCGAGCATGTATATTTATGAAGTATTGTTGCTTTGTTATGATTTGAGCTTGTTTTGGAAAACTTGTTTTTTTCGTAAGAATTTCTAAAGAAGAGTATTGCCAGTTCCAGTCCTGCTTCTAAAATCATTTTGGGTTTTGAGACATAAACGATTTAAAAGCCCGAGTGCATGTATTACAGTCATTAATGTACTGCCAAGCCCTGTGTTACATTAATGTTACATCTAAACTTCACAGAGTATCTTTAACTCCGTCCTCGTTTGCCACCAGCACAGAAGGGTTAATTCCTCTAAGAAGACTTCTCATGCAAGTGGCAGTCAATCGCAATTCAGAATTTTCACATTCTTGTGTAGGGATTGTATGTCATTTTTGTAGAATGTTTGGGTAATACATTCTGATAAGGGAGAGACTTTCTCCTTGATGCTTCTCTTTTCTGTCCTCTTAAAATTCTTCTTTTCTCCTCATGTTTCAATACATTTCTTGTTTTTCCTCATTTCCTTGTCTTTTTTGTTTTCATTCTAGTTTTAATTTTTTTTCTCTTTGCTGTGTGTGCACACACATGTGTGCATGTGCATGTTGCATGCTTGTGCATTGTGTCAGAAGAGCAGTCTCAGACATCTTTGGCACTTAGGAATTTTCTAGGTTTGTAGGATGAAATGTTCCTTCAAAAAACCTGCAGTCTCCTCTTCTTAAAGAACTACTATACTCCCAGACAGTGAGGGACTAGTTTCACACTCCTGGAACTGACTCTGTGGCATTCTTTTGTCCTTCTCTCAGGGAGAAATGGATTTCTTTCATTTGTTATCTCAGATGTAGCCAAAATAAAGCAAAATAAAATGGGAGACTTATTGTAGGTTGGTATGCATGTGTGTCTACCACTAAGTAGACTTCGGGGATTACATCACCTGCGCTTTAAGGCCAGGGAGGAAATTGTCATCACTGACATCTGGCCTTGACTACTAGGGCTTTCTTTTTAAAAAAATATTTTCTGATCAGAATGTAGTGTATACGTTTCCTCTCTTACATTTACTTCATTTGAACTTTTGTCTTCATGACTCTGTCTAGTTTCAGATGGCTGACAAGATAAAAAAAAGATACATAATTATAAAAGTTATAGTGGTAGGAAATCACATTGTCTAAAATAATTGGTCATCTAGGCAATGCCCTTGTTAGTGGAAAGCCATTCTAAAAACATTAGAAATTCTAGATGAAAGTGAGTTCCTTGTGAAGATGTGGCCATTTTCACCATCAGTCCAGCAGAGAGAAGAATAAGCCTCATGTACTTTGGGTCTTACAAGGCAAGTGGCCAGTGCTCCTGTAAGCAGCTTTCACACATTTGTGTTAGGGGTGAGTGCAGTGTGTGAAGGCTGGTAACAGTTTTCATGGGAAAGGGTAATTTACTAGGGTAGGAAAATTTCTTCTTTGAAATTTGGAATTTGTTTTTGCTTTTTCCAGATTCCTTTATTCTTAGCTTCTTAGGAGGGTGGTAATAAAGCGATCTTCATTCAATACCAAAGAGAGGAAAAGAGTTACTTTGAAAACTTTGAATGTCATTCACCTTTTGTAGTTGTCCCCCAGCACAAATAGTTGGGAGTAAGCATGTCCCATTGCTCTTGAAGACCAGAAGGTGCTTGTTTGGTCTTACCTTTGTTGGCATGTGCAGTTACGGGTGGATCAGTATTGCTCAAGGAACACACTTGGATTTCCTTCTTCATCTCTTGGTGCTTCAATTCCTTTATCTGTTAAAGGCTGTAAAATGCAGGAATTGAACTAGATGATCTTTGGAGTTCTATTTCTAAAATTCTGTGACTCCCTAAGATTTCATTTCCTTGTTAAAACCCGTGGTTCAGCATTTCACATTTCTTGGTCTTTTGGACTATGAAAATAAGCAGAAACCATTGTTTTGCTTCAAAAAGAGATTTATAATAAGAGATTATTTGAGTTACCTTTATGAAGCAGTACTGTATTTCTCCTTAAGGGATCTAAATAGATTTAGCTGGTTTCTGTTTGAAATTCTCTTTGGATAAAATACTTAATTTGTTTTTCTCTTGGAACTTTATATACATCTTTTCATTATGTTTACATTTTGGAATCTGTTACTTTATTGATTATATTTTAAAGTACCTAAGCTTTTGTGAGTTTTGATAATCATCTCAATTAGAATTCATGTTAAGATAGTATGGGATAATTAAACATTAAAAAATAAGATCCAAATTGATTCTTCTTACTAGTTTTGGTATTTTCAAAATTCCTAGGTAGTAATGTAATAGGAATTTATGTAGGGTATAATTTTTTCCCCTCACATTTTTTAGGCTAATTGTGTCAAGATCACTTGTAAGATTTTTAAATGGCTCGACCCTCAATAAGAGAGAAAAGGGTGTGCCTGATTTATCTTCATGCTCTTCTGGTAATTTCATGAAGGTGCTATTCTCTGCCTCAAGTGAATCTCTCATGGCTTTCAGATACTCGTGTCCAGTGACCTGGGCAAATAACCTGCAGTCGAATCATAGACTTCTCATGGATTTCACCGATGGTTTTTTAGAGCTTCAGAAAATTTCCACTTTTTCTTGACTTTATTTTGACTGTTTCTCCCTTTTGATAATACTGTTTGGAAACTGACTGGAGTTGTATTTGGTGAATAAAAGAAAATAGAAAATTAATATAAAATATTTTTTAGGTATGTTAATTTTCTATTTTGTTCTGCTCTAGATTTAGTTTTTAGTTCAGATACTATCACTTGCTAGCTAAGGCTGAATCTTTCTAAGTGTAGCTTTGGGATTTTACTCAGTTTGACCAGTATTGCAATCAGAAAATTTGCAAGAACTTCTCACCTTGTGTAAATGTGATTTTTTTTAACATTTTGAAAAAATAGCCAAAGTATAATTGTCTTTATTTCTGAACTTACTATTGGAGATGGGTCATCATCCTTCTGAAAGCTTTATTACTTAAATGGAAATGTTTTAACAGCATGGCTCATCACAAATAGTAGTGTTCATAGGCTAGTTTATTAAGGTATTTTGCAGATACCAAGTTCTGTTTTGCACAGGGTGAGAATCTCTTAGGAAGTTTTCTGATTGCTTTATATTTTTATTTTATTTTTTTTAAAGCTGTGTTATTTTTTAGTTCTTCATGCTTTGGAAGTAACAGTTGAAGAGAGGTGAGGAAAGTTTGTGAAAATTGTGATCGGGGATTAGCTGCCACCTGCCTGAGGTGTCTTCTGAGAGGAACTAACCTCTTTGTGGTGCTAGAGCAAGGTCACTGGATTAAAAAAAAGAACAGGTAACCATCTTATTCCTTGTATGAAAAGTTCTGTTTTAAAATTAATAAATGCAACGTGTTCAAGGGAAGATGAGCTGCTGTTTACAGAAAGTGTCTAATTCTCTCCTCAGAAACAAGCAAAGTGGACTATGTCCTCTTTCAAGCTGCCACGGCCATCATGGAGGCAGTGGTCCGAGAGTGGATTCTCTTGGAAAAGGGCAGCATTGAGTCCCTGAGAACATTCCTTTTAACCTATGTCTTACAGAGGCCCAAGTAAGTACACAGAGGAGGTTCTGCAGAAACAACTCACGTGAAGCTTATCCTTTTGGAGCTTTTCCTTTTCCTTTTCTTTATTTTGTAATGATAGACATTATAGTTAAGCTCCATGTGGGGCTTATATTTTAAAAGCTCATACATGTGACTGTAGCTTGTTTTCCTACTTAATGAAATAATGATTTTTTAAAAATTGAATTTATTGGGGTGACGGTTAATAAAGTTATATAAGTTTCAGGTGTACAATTCTATAATACATCATCTGTATATTGTGTGTTCACCAGTCCAAAGCAATAATGATTTTTAATTGAGCTTATGATACTCTTGTTTTGTTTCTTTGAAAAAAATGTGCTGGATGTTAGGTTTTGTGTTGCATTTTGGACTCAGTTCAAAAGCCTTTGTACTTGATCTTTTTTTGTTGCTTGGTAAGTATTATAAAACAGGTGAGTATCCCCAGACGGGTGAGGGGAGGAATCAAGTATGTATATAGAAATGCATGTTATATAAAAAGATTATAGAAGAAAAAAGAAGAAGAAATGCATGTGGTGGGGGAAGGCATAGACAAATGTATTTGAAAAAAATAAATAAATTAAGTTAAAAAAAAAGAAAGAAAGACAAAAGGATCAAATTCTTTAACAGTTTTTTGGAGAGGGACTCAGGTTTAAGGAATGGGGTGAAGGTGAATTTGTATTCATGTTATACACATTGTATTGCTTAAACATTTTACAAGATGGTGCACATTTATTGCTGTATGATTTTTTTTTTAATATGAGGAAAATTATCAGCTGCACCACTTTTGGGGGGAGATTCATTTACTGCTTTTTAAAAAAGATTTTATTTATTTTTAGAGAGAGGGGAAGGGAGGGAGAAAGAGAGAGAGAGAAACATCAATGTGTGGTTGCCTCTCGTGTGCCCCCTACTGGGGCCCTGAGCAGCAACCCAGGCATGTGCCCTGACTGGGAATTGAACCGGCAACCCTGTTGTTCACAGGCTGGTGCTCAGTCCACTGAGCCACACCAGCCAGGGCATACTTTTCTTAAGTCGCTTAAATGCCAAGCTTTCTTTTAAGAAGAGGTGGTGCAGTCTCTATTTGTTGTTTGTGCAGTTGGGTACTTTTTTGCATACATGGTCATTTCCAAATTCTCCAGTGAAGAGAATGTATGTAATTAGAAATGATGGTTGTAAGGAATGTTGACTAATGGTGATAAACATGCATAAAGCTTTAAAAAGAATTTAGAGCATACTGTTACACCTTCCTTCATACTGATTGTTCACTAGCAGTGTCCAAGTTTGTAACACTTAATCATAATTACTGGCATGACTTTAGCACTCAGTTAAGTGCTGACTGCTTTACATCTAGATTCTAGAATATAATATGCATTTAGAAAGCCAAGGTTTGCTTAGCTTGTTAGCACTGCAGGTTTAATAGATACTGTGTCCTATAGATGAGTGGATGTACATATAGGTGAAAGGAGGGGATGGCTCATTTTATTCTGGTTTTAGCAGAATAAGAAAAATTTGCTCTAGTTTCAAACCTTTCTATTTTTCCCACTGGTTTTCTATATTTAAATTTTATTTGTTGTTTGTTGAGTGCACTTGGGTGTGATACCAGCTTGCCCTGGAGCTGTTCATTTATCACAGTCTCTTCCTCCACCAGCTTCAGAACTGCTGAGCTCTGGAGAGCTTGGTAGACTTAAGGGTGTGGCAAATTTTGATTGTGTGTGTATGTGTGATTTCTTGTATTATCCAAGATAACCTCACCCTTACATAATTTTGATTAATTCAGGAGCTGTCTTAGAGTTGGTTATAAAAAAAAACCACAGTACAGTGAACACACACAATGCCCCTTCCCTAGCAGGGGCTCAGTTAATGTTTTGTCATATTGGCTCTCCCTGATGTATGTATATATTATATGCATTTGCTCCTGAACAGTCTGAAAGCATGCTGCAGAAACCATGATGCTTTATTTTAAACATTTCAGCATGACTCCTAAGGCATCATCTCCATACTTTGCTATCTAATGTAATTCTGATTTTGTATTTGGGCTTGTATGAATAATATTATTTTTATCCTTTTCCTTCTTTGTAGTTTATTTTTTCAATCTGGAATTTAATTACATATTATACATTATAATTAGTTGTCAGGTCTCTGTAGTCTCTTTAATCTGAATAAAATAATCTGCCTTTTTTGTCTTTCATGACATACATTTTTGTATAGTAGGATGCCCTACAAGGTGGATTAGAATCAAGTTAAAATTTTTGGTATGCTGCGTAGGTCAGAGACTGTAGGTTGTATAGAATAGACCACTACCATTTCGTGCACAGTTTTTTCTTTTCTATTTTTCTTTCTAATTAAGGTAAAATTCGCATAGAGTAAAATTCAGGTATACTTTTTAAAAGAGACAGTATGGAATAATAGTTGAGAAAAGGACTCCCACTCCTCCAATTTTAAATCTGTGACCTTGGGCACATTATTTCACCTCTTTGTGTATTGATTTTCTGATTATTAAATATAGAGTGAATGATACTTTACCCAAAAGATTGTTAGAGGATTAAATGTGTTAAATTTTGTACAGTTTATATAAAAGTCTTGCACATCATAAACACCCAGTAAATATTAGCTATTATTACTTGTTTTCTTAGTAATTTATAATTCTTATCAGCAGAGATATTTAAAACTAGCTTTATGTATATTCTTAGTAATAGTATTCAGCTTCATGTGCGTTTTCTAGTAGTAGTCAGTGAGGGTGAAACTGTTGCATTCCCCTAAAAGTTTAAGATTCCCTTTGGTAAACTCATATTCTAGCCCATAATAGGATCTCTCTGTTTATTTGCTTAATGAATGCTTCAAGTCTGTGCTTTGAAGGAAGTTTTCCACTTCAGTCTAGACACAGGGACATGTGTTCATTCATTTTCATAAATTTCTAACAAATACCAGTTATGTGGCCGGCAGTGTACCTTATCTTGGAATAACAGCAGCAGGCCTAACATGGCAGCCAGTCTGGGAGATGACGTTAAAACCCATGGTAACACATGCTTTGTGGTATAACAGAGAAATGTGGGAGAGCCCTTCTTAGTAATGACCAGCCAGGCGTAGGGTGCTGTTCAGGAATGCTGTCTGGACCAAGTGGCATCATGGTCTGGGCAAAGCAGTTAAATGGCCTGCAAGTACATGGAACTTGTGCCAGGAACTGAAAGAAGTTTAGTACATCTGCGGTTTTGGGTGTGTGTGGAAGAGGTGAGATCAGAGAGGGGAGCAGGTACCTAGTCATGAAGGCCCTTAGGAGGGGGCTACCGTATCATTTATGTCCAAGTGGGGACACATTTCAGAGTAAAAGAAAACATTATTAATAGTTATGTTGGACAGCAGGTAAACTGAGAGTGTCCCAGGAAAGCTGGTCTGGGTCACACTGCTTATAAGCCATGTGAAGGAATTTGGGTTTTTTTGTTTGTTTGTTTTTTTTACAAGAGCATGGATGGACCTAGAGGGTTATTACGCTAAGTGAAACAAGTCAGCAAAAAACAAATACCATATGATTTCACTTATATGTGGAATATGAAGAGCAAAATAAGTGAACAAACAAAACAGTAACAAATTCATAGACACAAAGAACAACAAACAGGGTTGCCAGGTGGGAGGAGGGTTGGGGAGTAGTGAAAAAGGGGATGGAATTAAGAAATACAGATTGGTAGTTACAAAATTGTCAGGGGATGTAAGTACAGCTTAGGAAATACAATCAATAATATTGTAATAACTGTATGGTGCCAAGTGAGTACTTGAATTATATGGGGTATTACTTTGTAAATTACCTAATCACTATGCTGTACACCTGAAACTAATATAAAATAATATTGAATGTGAACTGTAATTGAAAAATTAAAATGAAAAGGAATTTGTGTTTTATTCCAGGGGTACATGGTGGTTGTATTCTTGTGCATTTTAGAGGCTGGATTGTAAAGTTCAGGGTTATGTTTCTGATCCTTACCTTTAAGAAACAGTTGTGAAAAGTCAGTTATTTATGCCCTTGTGGTCTAATGGACTTTGTAGAATGCCTCCACTTAGGACCAGTGCTTCTGCCACCACATCAAGGAACAGAACTTAGAAAGAACTTAGAGAGTTTTAAAAAGATTTTTTAGAATTTGCATATTTCTATAATTTGTGTCTTGGATAGCTACTATGTTGCCTTTCCACAGTAAGGGGAATGGATTTAAAATTATACTACTTGTTGGAGGTAGATAATAGGACAGAATTTTTCTTTAACTGGTGGAATCTTAATCTAGCTTTTCATGGGCTGACTTAACACCTGTCGAACACTGCCTGAAGCAGCTAACCCTTATGTAGTGCTTAGTGTGCACTGGGCACAGTTTTGAGAACATTTAATTCTTGTAACAACCCTGGTACTCTTGTCCCCATTCCACAGGTGAGAAAACTGAGACTCTGAGTATTAACTCTCTTACCCAGGGTCACATAGCCAGTAGATGGAGTGTGGATTTGCACCCAGGTCATCTGGGTTTGGAGTGCATAATGGATTGGCTACACTCCACTCAGATCTAAGTGGGATTATTAAGAGTTTCAGGCATATTGAGAAATTTTGTAGTGTTTTTATATGAGATTTATGTAGTGGTTTTCACTTTGATCTTTATATTTTACAGCCTCCAAAAGTATGTTCGGGAACAAATTCTCTTAGCAGTAGCAGTAATTGTAAAACGAGGCTCACTTGATAAGTCAATTGACTGCAAGAGCATTTTCCATGAAGTCAGCCAGTTGATCAGTAGTGGCAATCCCACTGTGGTAAGTGTGCCTACTGTTCACATTTGTAAATATTTAATTTGTATTTTGTTTAACAAAGATACCATTACAGCAACAGTAACAGTTATCTACATGAAACAAAAAGCAGTTTTTATTTGTTCCTGTTTTCTCTAGTCCTTTTCATATGTGTACATATTGTGGATGTAGCGATTCACCTTTTCGTTTGATCCTGTTTCCATGTTGTTGTAGTGTTAATAATCATCATTTTAATGGTGTAAAGTATTATAAGCTAACATTTAACCATTTCTCTTCAAGTGAACATTTCCTCCATTAAAATTTTTTTTCTTTAATTTTTAGAGATTGGGGAAGGGAGGGAGAAAGAGAGAGAAAGAAATATCGATGTGTGAGAGAAACATTGATAAATTGTCTCTCGCAAGCCCCAACTGGGGACCTGGCCTGCAACCAAGACATATGCCTGGACCAGGAATCAAACCAGCAACCTTATAGTTAACAGGCCAGTGCTCAGTCCACTGAACCATACCAGCCAGGGCACATTTCTTACATTTTTTATTAACTTTTGACAACTTCTAGTGATAGTAGGAATGTTTGAATAAAATATGGAATGATCTCTCTCTAACATAACTATTAATGTTGCTCTACATATATATATATATATATATATATATATATATATATATATATATATATATATAAAAATATGTCACTGTCAGCTGAACAAATTTGAGAACCGTTGTTCTTGACTGAATTATTCTGGGGAGCCTAATTGACTTGTTCCCCTTTCAGTCTTATGTCTACCTTTTGGGAACTCTTTGTGCCTTCAGAGTCTAAGGGCTTGGAGTTGGTGTTAGTTATCAGCTGTGATTCTTGGCTAGAATGATTGACTTCTATCAGCTACATGGTTTTTAACTCATGTAGAATTGGGATTGGTACTACCTGGCTGTTCTGATTTTCAGGTGTTAAGTCTTTAAACATTTTGGGTAGTTTTCTAAAATTATGTGAGGCTGTACACCTTCCAGCTTTTTATGAATTACTTTGCAGCTTCAGTGAGTTTGTGATTTTAATCATATTATTGATGGCTTGTGGTTAGGAGGTCGAGGTACATTTTAGGGAGCTGCACACTGTCCCTTCCTTTTCACAGTGTGTTGGATCTCTTCTCTCCCCACCTTTTACCACACACAAATGTGTGCTCGCTTCTGCTCTAGCCCACCACCAATCTGGCGGTGACCCCCAGACTGACCTAACAGGCCCTCGAATAACGGAACATGTAAGCAGGTTATTAGAACTTTGGAACTTCCTGTACAACCCTGATGTTTTTGGTTTTTCCTTTGGAATTTATCAGGGGGCCTGTGTCTATCATTTTTTTCCTTACCAACTTTATTGAGGAATAATTTACATACATTACTGCATCCATTTAGTGTGTACACTTGGCTGAGTTATACATTTGTGGCTACCAGTGAGCTCCCAGCAGAGTCACAGTACAGAGCATTCCTACTTACATTTGATTTTTGACTTTGTGAATATTGTGTTCTATGCCATGCTTGTGGCAGATTCCTCAGGAGTACATGCATGTGTTCTATATTTGTTATCTCTAACCTGTGGTCACAACACAGCCACATGGTAGCTTCTTAATATTTGAAATGTGGCTGGTATGACTGAGGAACTGAATTTTTAATTTTATTTCACTTTGATTAATTTACATTCAAATAGCCACATGTAGCTAGTGGCAACCATATTGGACAGTATAGTTCTAGAGACACTGATCATCCAGTGGTCTAATTCTATGACCTTTTCACCTAATCTTAGTATTGTAAAATTTAATTTTTTATATAAAACTAACTTCAACATGTGCACATTTGAATCACTACATTTTCTGAGTCATTTGGCTTGTTTTATGTAGTGAGAAGTTCTCCTGAAAATAGTCCTTAAATAAGATTCTATTTAAAATTGAGGTAAAAATGATTGGGGAGCTACTTTTTACCAATATTAATCGTTACTCTTAAACTCTCTCTTGGTGGACATGGTCTTCTTTTCTGGTGAAGGCTTTGCTCTTGGCACACTGATGCTTCAGGGTTGCCTGCCTTAGTTGTGTAGTGCAGCAATCCCCAACCATTTTGGCACCAGGGACTTGTTTTCTGGAAGACAATTTTTTCCACGGATGGGGCATCGTTCAGGGGATGATTTTGGGATGATTCAAGCACATTACATTCAAGCTCACCTTCTGCTATTGGCCTGGTTCCTAACAGGCCTGGACAGGTACCCATCCACAGCCTGAAGGTTGGGGACTCCTGGTGTAGTGATAATCTTGTTATTTGAGTGAATTATGTTACTGGTGGCCATGTGCCATCCAGTGGTGGCTGTCATGATGGGTGAGGGAAGAACAAGGGGTGGAGACAACTGGCCAGAGCTAGTGGGGAAGGTTTGGCGCTTAGGCTGCTACTTTGAGATGTTATCATAGTCCACTACTCCAAGTCAGGTCAAGTTTTATGTGTTAGATTACACTTAAGGACATGTTGCTTCATGTGACAGTCACAGTGAAGGAGTCCAGCTTGTTGCAGCTGACCAGGACTTAAACTTTAGTAACGAAACCAGTAACTTTTGACATCCATGTGCTTATAACTAATGCCTTCTCCATAGTTAGTAGAATTTCTGTGCCCTGTCCTCACCTCCCATAGGTAGCTTCTTGGCACCTGGACGCTGAAGGCAAAGACTCAGGTGTCTCTTACCTCTCTCAGGACTGGGTGCAGACACAGGGATTGAGTTCCCCAGTTCCCTTTGCCTGGGGAATTTGACCCAACTTCAAAAAGTTGTCCCAATGCAACCTTGCATTGGACTTTTTGAACCAGGAAATAACTGATGTTCTGTAAATGTTTGAAACAGATGTCACTGTTAGAGAAGATTTTGCTCTATTCACTTGAGAATAGTGGCTAAATTCAGTATCATTGTGAAAAACTCCAAAACAGAAAGATTTTTTTGAAAGTTGAATTTCTTTTAATGGTGTTAACTTTTTATAGCAGCAGGTGGGAGGTTTAATTTAATTTCAGGATGGCCAGATGAATTTATTATGGTGACTACACTGAAAATATTAAACTTAAAAAGTACTACATTTATGCAGCCAGCTCAGTGCACTGTGTGGTCATCCCTGTTATCCTTGCCCAGGAGGTCAAACAAAATGAGATTCCAGACCAGGAAAGTGTTTTAATGTTCCCCTGTTGCTCTCCCTCAGGCTGTTGAGAATTTGTAGGAGTGGTTCAAGAATTTACCTAAGGTTTTCTTAGTCTCAGAGACATGAACAGCAGTGGGAGATAGGGATAAGATTTGAAAGGGGGAATCAGATGGCAGGGGAGTGAGAGGAAGTCACACTGACCTCCTCCTAGGACCAATCTAGAATTACAACTAAATTGTAGAGAAATTACCTGAAACAAATAACTGAACAATAGCAAGAAGGGAGCCTTATAACCTCAGACAGACAGAAGAATCAGCTGTAGCACAACCTGACTGGTAAGGAGTGCGGTAGAGACTCAAGAAGGTGGGCTGTGCACCCACGGGCAGCAGCACCAGAAGGATATTGAAACAGCCAGTTGGATTCCCCTGAGAAGAGCGGGGTTTAAACCATAAGTGGGGATCTTCAGATTACAGCACCAGAGCTAAAAAAGTACACAGAAAACAATCAGCTGCGAAAAGAGGGTTGCTCTCTGCCAGAGACAGGTGGCTGGAGATGCAAAGAGCCATTTAAAGGGCCAGTGCATACATTTTTATTTGCAGCTGCTTACCCTGGGCTCCAGCAAAGGCAGGCTCAGAGTGGGCTGGAGATGCCTAAGGAGAGACTAGGGAAGGAGGTTTTGGGGAGAGAAAGGAGAGAGCAGCTGGCGGGATCCCGGTGCTGACTCCTCCCCAATACAGCAGCAGCCATCTTGATCAGGCAGGCCACTCCCCTGAGCAGCAACAGCGTGAGAGGACCCAATAATCCTCCCCCCGCCAGAGGGACTCTGCCCCTTCCTGTGGTGTGTAAGCCTGACTGCTGAGTGCAGAGTGACTAGATTAACAACTGAAGGAGACAGCCACAGACAGTAGATTCCTGGAAGCCTTGAACAGACTGCCTAAGGTCAGACAGGGTCAACATCTGACATCATCTGTGGCAGATCCAGAAAGAAAAAACAGCAGTCTCCTACCACAGAAGTTCACACCACAAAGTCAGGAAATCAAGAAAGATCAATTTAAGAAGCAGAAGCAAAAAAGAAGAGTCTCCCAAATAATGGGAAGACAAAGAAACACTCCCCAGTCTAAGGGAAAGGAGGAATCTCCATAAAGAGAACTAAATGAAATATAGACAAGTCGACCATCAGATATTGAGTTCAAAACAACAGTTCTAGGGAAGCTCAATGAGCTCAGTGAGCTCAGAGAGACTTAAAAAAAACTACGGGGAAACTACAAGGAACTTCCTGCAAACTATATCAACATGAAAAAGGACATAGAAACTATCAAGAGTCAAGAGGAAATGAAGAATACAATTTCTGAATTGAGAACACAATAGAAGGAATCAAAAGCAGGCTAGATGAAGCAGAGGAATGAATCAGTGAGCTGGAGAATAACGTAGAAAAAAGCTCCCAGAAAGAGCAAGAAAATGAACAAAGACTCAAAAAAAATGAAGAGACATTTAGGGAAATGCAGGACAACCTGAAATATAATAATACTGTATAATAGAGATACCAGAAGGGGAAGAGGAGGAGGAAGAGGTAGAGAACCTGTTGGAAAAAGTAATGATGGAAAAGTTCCCTCATTGGAGGAGAGAAAAAGTCACACAAGTCCAGGAAGCAGCGGGCCCCATTCAAGAGGAACCCCATGAGGCCCACTCCAAGACATATCATCATTAAAATGGCAAATATCAAAGACAGAATCCTAAAGGCAGCAAGGGAGAAACAGGTAGTAACATAAGGGAGCCCCAGTATGGCTAGCAGCTGACTTCTCAGCAGAAACACTTCAAGCCAGAAGGGACTAGCAAGAAATATTCCAAGCCATGAAAA